AGGTCAGGCGTAGAGCCGCGTCCAGAGGGCGAACATTTCCTGAATAAATTGTGTAAATATTTTAACATGGGCCCGCTGTTTTCAGCGGCAATTTGACGGGACGCGGTTGGTTCCTACGAATTTGTAGCTGTCGGTACGAATTTTATTGTGTCCGATTTATTTGGCCGCACGTGTAAACACGTAGGGATCAAACGCGTTCTAATTCCGTTTGATGTTTCAATTTACCCAATTATGTAAACGATCAGATTAGACTTTTAAAAGATTTCAGATTTAAAGGATAACCATTTGGTTTGCAAGGACTTGTCGTCAAACATTTTATTGTTGCGGAACTGATCCATTTCTTTTTTCTAAACATTATGAAAATACTGATAATTATGTATATTATCATTGGTAAGAATATCCTTAGTCTTGATCCTATAGATTTTATATGCAAAGCATGATTCGAGAAAACCTTGAATTGAAGAAAAAATATTTCATATGCATTTATCAATTACTGTATTATATATTAAATATAGCCGGAATAACATGCACTAGCACACCCTAGTCTGATATTTATGTAATAACACTACGGTTATTTTAACTGGTGGCAAGAGTAACTATAAATATAAGTATGTAGCCGTAGAAAAGTATTATAAATCTTGATAAACACTCGACGTTTGTAAACTCCACATAATTCGCCAAGTCCGGGCTAAAGCAAACAATCGTAGGAACTCAATCAGCCGCCGCGCGTCCATGTGGATGTAGCTTTATTCAGCATCCCGCGCACACACCCTCACCAATCAACACGCACACACCTAACAAATCCTTCGGAAAATTTGATACATTTGTGTATGTGTGCATAGCGACCATCCGTGTACGCATAAACCCTTGCACAGTGTTGGTTTCCCTGAAAATGGCCGCCGTTAAAAGTGCGCATGCGTCTAAATACAATTTATCGCGGCTACTAAAATTTTTAGGTTCAAAAGAAATTCGACCTTATTGCACTGGTAAAATGGTCTTGGTTAAATTTTTGGGACGTAATTAGTAAGTTGGTAGTAAACACGGCGGGTTTTTGAAGTTCGGACTTGAGTAAGGTAAAGGACACTTCTTGACGTTGGTGGCGCATAGAGAATTAAAATGAGTGCTCGTACTCTTCGTACAGCTACAAACTTAAAGCGCGGTTAGCGGTAGACGCGTACACGACCCGCTAGTTTAGATCCTCACCGCTCGACGCTCCGTAGCTCACCAGAAAATTACTTTTTAAAACTTCATCTATACTTTTTTAATCAGATCTTAGCAGTTTAGACACAAGTTTAATCATAATATCAGATAGATTAGATTAGATAACAAGGAGCTACTTTAACGAAAATATGCAGTTATTTTTTAGTGTAAAGAAGTTAGTTAAGATAACCAGTAGATTTTAAGTTTCAATGAGAATAAAAAAAAAAGACATGTATCGATTTACTTTATTGTTTAAATAACTCAATGATGTCATTACAGTGAAGATAACATAAATGACGTGGCAATATTATATTTATCTCTTGCAATTTAATTGATGAAAGTCTCATAAAAACAAATACGAGTGGAAGTGGACCACATCAATGCGGACATCAAACGAATCGGAGCGTAGATTGTAAAATTTTACGTTTGATCCTCTTCAACGAGTTGAGAAGAAATCGTTTAACAGCCACTACCACGAGAACTGTCAGTGACAGGCTGAGACTACTAGAGACGAAAACAATCGTAAGGATTTGTACTTGTAGCAAACAATGTAGTTTTGGTGAATCGTGAATTAAAATGAGTATTTCACTAAAACTTTAGCTCAAACAAGAAACAGCTTAAAAACGATTCAGAGGCTGTTCTTAATAACCAAAACGATTTTGATTCCGGTTCCAAGAACTGTAAACTCGAATCCACATCACTTCATATTCTCGAAGTACGGAGATAATTTATTTAAGTTGCGGTGACCACGAGTCCCAGCGGTGTGCTCGTCACTCAGTACATTCCACGGAATTGGAGAGACGCTCAGCATCTCAACATTCACGTCGGATGCTGCACTCTTGATACGTGCGAATTGATCCGACGACTATGTGAGACGCCGAAATGAAATGGGATATTGAAGTTCGTTCGACGAATATTATTGAACAGTATAAATGTCAGAATATTACTATGTTAGAGAATATTAAGTATCATTCAGCTATTACTCAGCAATATTGCGTAACATTCGAAATCATAGTACGTTTAGACAATATCAAATAATGTATTAAGTACACCTCAGTAATTTTGTTCTAAAGAGTTCGATGTCTAGTTTATAGTGTGGATCTACTGTATTAATCTGTCTGTGGTATGTGTAGGTTGGTACCATTGAGCTAGCCTGCGGTAGCATATGGCAGGAGCAATTTATCACTCGACCGCTGTTCTGCGGTCGACCAATTAGTGCATACACACGTGTACAAGTAGTGGGCAGTACAGATCGACGGAAATACTAGTTATTATGTTGCTAAATTGTAGCTGCTACTGAAAATTTCGAACTTTCAAAATCGGGCATTCGATTAATACCGGTCTGAATTTTGTGAACAAAGCATTGTTTCTGCTAACAATCCAAGCTCATCCCCATAAAGCATCATTCGCACACAGTACTGTACTTACACGCTAATTAATCACGGTTCTGAAACTCCAAACATCGGCTACACAAGACAAACTAAGCATCGCTCAGGTATTGTTTACCACAAAAGTTTGTTTTGCGCAACAACAAAACAAAGTTGAACAATTCCACCTTGTAATTCAATACCAGTCACAGGATATCAGATTTAATTTAGTGTACAAAACAAAATGAACAATGTTTATCGTATCGTTACTTAACAATAATCTCGATTCTACAATTCAATAGCTCTATTTCACTATAATTAGGATTTCGTAGTAGTTTCGTAGCACATCCTACTACGGCGGCTACGGTTCACTACGTCGTAGCCAATCGATTACAATCAGCAATTCAGCAGAAATTAATGAGCCATTTTACTCAGATTAGACTAGTGTTTGAGTGAGTTATACCTAAGATGGAGAGATCTTTAGATCTCATTACTTAGATTAGACGATCTTCTTAGACTTTTGTCAATTAAATTGTTTTAAGTACGTAGTTATTATTAAAAAGGTTATTAAACGATGAAGATTTTAACGACACCAAATCATCTAGTTTTGGAATAATATTTCGTAGATCAATGTAAAGCACTGCGATTTTATATCCGCTAACAAATTTAATACACTTATGCCATCAGTCTCAGCACACAATTAAAAAGAAGAAAGCTTTTCTGCTACGTATTCCAATATCATAAAAAGGAATGGACCTGTTATTTGTTATTGATGTCGTCACTTTATCAGCAATTCAAATAAGATATTGTGGCAATGTAACACATAATTTTGTAGCCATAGCATTGTACAGCAATGTTCCCGATTCCTTCCAGAATGATTGCCAGAGATAGTGTAGATAATTTGATGGTGGCTGCGTGCCAGACACGGGATTGAAACATCTTGGAGCTGGAAGCAACTCTTAAATGCCAAGACTTTGGCAAAAATGGCAAAGCCAAGAAAACTATTATTGATGGAAGGAGACCATTATGGCGTAAGTTAATGTCGTTATGTTATTAGGTAACTGAGTTGTGTATGTACAGTCTTACCGAAATTGTTATGTTATTTCTTATCTTTCGATTGAATCTGTTGACTGTTCTATTTCCGTAAATACAAATTCATAGCAGAATTGGGCTGGTGTATATTTTTTATTTTACCGAACAGATTTACATACGTTATGGATGCACTTATTATACCTCCGAAGAAATTATTCTTCTTTTCAAGTGAAGTGTTACTTTTAGTTTGTAATTAGGGTAAGTAAGGTTTGTAAATGAGTAATAATAAAACAATGCATTGAATTAATTGATTTTATTTTTCGTTTCAGGTAAAATATGTACAGTAGCAAACACGTAGGCAGTGACAGTTAACATAAGACTTGAGTAGATCCGTTCGTTACTATTGCTAGGATACCCTACGGTTAACTTATTACAAGAGTACAAAACAATTCGCTATAAATTATCGAGTATATCAATTTAGTACAAAGGGGCAAAATTGTGCTCAATACAAAACTTCAAAAACTGTAATTTTATCGCGTAACTATCGTATAGTAAGTAATATGTGTGTAGTAATTTAAATCTATTAATATTTTGTGGTTGGCAACAAAAGTCCTGAGTTTCACAAGCCACAACAGTTATAGCATTATCCTGTGTTAATCAATAAACATTAAATACTTAATAATAAGTTCGGTACAATAAGTTCCACAACTGATGTCAATTTAATTGGCACGAATTCGTTTATTTATTGCTACACTTAAAATACGATTTAACTCATAGAAGAGTTAAAACATCACCATGTTTTAGATAAAACGATACTAACCTAACTTGAGGGAAATGTTTACAATTCAATATACAAGAACACACAGTAACGAGATCTTAACTTGAGCTTCTTAAAAATAATCAAAATAGTTGAACACACAAAATTATACAATCGGTAAAACAACGCCATCTATCGAGCCCGTTTGCAAACAGGAAAATCGTATTTTCTCGTTCTTTAACACTAACAATAAAATCTTCTTGTACTTACATTATTGACTTATTACAATATATCTAAAGTCTACTTTTTACATTTCGTCAGATATGATTCTGGATGTGTTTAATATTTAATTTACGACTATTGTTACATTGTATTGGAATAGTAAATTTAACTGACTATGGATTCTCTACAAAAGTGGGAGTTTAGAAGAAACGTTTCGTTTCAAAAGTACATATTTAATAAAAATGTTAATTTAGTGATACCAAATAGGCCGCATTATTTTTTTCAAATCCAACACAGTACAAAACGTCCTAAAATATTTACATTTAAATTTTTTGTTAAAATCTCTTAGAGCTAAAACGGTAAATTAGCTAGGTAACAATTTTATAGTATTTCGCTTGTAGCAGTCTTTATTGTCGTCGTACCTATACGTGTATCGTAAAATCTCTTCTCTCTTGTTCCTGCCGTTGTTGGTATCTGTGAATATAAAATAGCGCCATCTAACAGCAGTTAAGATCACTAACAATACAGCTACATGGAACACAGTACCATCTAGTGACTGCGAAATTAAAACTACAAAATGAAGTAAACATGCTCAGGTGGTTTAGAAAGTGCTTTCATAATCCGTTAGATGTCCATCACTAGCAGTTTCTTAAAATTATTTGGTATGTACACTTTACGTTACTTCACCAGTAGCTACGGATATGATAGATTCGATTTGTTTTTGAAATTTTAGTGGCAATAGAAGTGCTAAAAGCAAAATGTAGAAGTTACATTTATTATGGAGATTGGACGCTCCAGTCTCTTCCGATGAGAACAAATTGATGAAAATTAATTTTGTTGTGGAATGAGATGATTCGCGTCACTAGCAAGGTTTACTAATTAGTACTCACAGAAAGATAAACATAGAAACCTGTCCTAGTCAGAAAATATGCGTTTACCTAATATAGAGTTTACCTAGACGATGTGGGCGTGTGATGTCGCCGCGGTCGTCGCCGCGACTTGTCGTGCGGTCGCTGCGACACAGAGCGCGCGTCCGCCGCCGACTCCGCACTCGAGTCCGTCACTGCACGGAATACTTCGTCTGAAATGACATCTTTCATGTTTTATGGTGCATCTTTCATAACTAGATTACATTGAGTCATACTTGCCCTAACCACCGCAAACTACTACTACTACAAACTATCTCTTAACTAAGAGTCACTTAGCGTGAATGGGACTTGTATTGTTAGGTGTCACTTATGAAAACCAAAATGTTGTTTAGTGTCACCTATCTATTCTTTAAAATTTAAGAGGGGTTGGTGAAAACGTGGTGATTGTACGGGGCAAACAAACAGACGAGAATGACGATGATAAAGTAATTAAAGTTGCAATAATCTCACCTTTCCCCGGAGTGACAGGCATCCTATATGACACACTGGAGTTACACTCGGCGCAGGGCGAGCCACTCGAGTCCGAGTCAGACTCCGAGCGACGCACCATCAGCGTCATAGCTCGAGACAACGTGTACTCATCTGGGAAACAGTAAATAAGTTACTGTTGATTTGTGACTAAAAAATGTAGAAGTATGATACAAAACTCCTCTACATAATGAAATACATAGTTTATACTATTGAAGAAAAATTTTATGGTCTACACTACTTGGTAGACCATCTAGAAGAGCAGCAACAAAATCTCTCAGACACTTAATAAATCACATGACTACATATACACAAGACATACCAAAAACAATGTATAAGGTACATTGTTTTTGGTATGTCTTGTGTCTGGTATCTGGTGGTGGTATCTGGTTGTGAGTGGACGTGAGGGGATGATAGACATTAGTACGAGGGTCAGTACCTGCATTCTCATGATGCAGATGGTGATGTAGATGGTGTCGCGGCGGCGCGGCCTGCAGCGGCGCGGGCTCGGCGCGGCCGAACGTGCGCAGCGTGCCGCCCCCCGCCGCGCCCTCCGCCGCCTCCGCGCCCGCGCCGCTCGCACCGCCAGACATACTGAACGTCGCGTATGGACTTATCTCGTACATCTCTGAAGATAAATACCAATTGTTAATACTCCACGAAATTCGTTTTTTGTGTTTGTCAATATAATTGGTGATTGAATTTATTAGCAAATGGAGTCTCAGTGCCATGCCAACCCATAAAAATATATAACAGTTGCAAAAGCTCAGAAGAAAAAGATTGCCCGTTTCTCAGAGTTCCCTTTATCAGAGTTACAAATACACGATGCTATATAACGGCAGCACGGGTATATGTCTTGTATTCTTACATACAAACCTTGTTGGTCCTTCTTCCCAATAGGATGCTTGATGGGCGAGGACGTGTACACCTGCTGACAGTTCCGCCGGTTGTCCCTTTTCTCCACCGACTTATCTTCCTCCTCCGAGATGTCTCCTTGCTCGTAGCCTTTTCTGAAGCATGATGCTGATGGACTGCAAGTATAAATAAAATAAATCTTTAAAACATGCTCATGCTTTATGTTATGGCTATACTCATTAAATCAAAAGTAAAAAAAATCTATTAGTGCCTTTTAACGAGTAGGGCCTTAAACGTAATATAGTCAAGACTGATAAAATATGTTTCCTTTCAGGGTATAATTATTGAGAGAAATGGACCTTTATTTACTTTTATCAAATGCAATTACCTCCGCTTGTAAGCAAGTGTCGCCAGTAGCAGTAGTGCAGCGAGCAGACCGCAGCCGGCTGCAGCCAGGACGGCGGTCGCGCGCTCCTCCCCCTCCTCCCCGCCGGGGGGGAAGTGAGCTGGTGCTGGGATGCGATCTAGAAGACAAAGTGTTCTTTGTCAAAGTGTTCTTTGTCGTTCAATACCGTAGTTTAATCTGCAAAACAACAGTTTAATCTGCAAAACAACAGTTTTGCAGATTAAACTACGGTATTGAACGGTAACCCCTAGATTAATTAATATGAGCAATTAATACCAAAGAATTGTGTAGTATTTTACTTGTCATACCTCCATTTTCAGTTAGAGTAGAGAAGTAGTAGTTCCCCAGGGTGGTCCCAGCAGCGCTCACTGCAACTACTTTCAAATGGTACCAGGTTGCCAATGTCAACCCACAGAGGACAGTGGGCTGTGCTGCCGGCGATACAGTCTGCGTCATCCAGGACGACTCCTCGAAACTCCTCACAGATACTGAGAACTGTGTCAAAGGACAGCCATTGCTGTCCCAGGTCAGTAAGTTGAGTCGGACGCATGTGCTGTTCGTAGTTATCAGGTCCTTTTCTGGTGATGCTTTTGATGCTGGAACAAAATGTTTTTACTTTGTTGGAAGCAAAATATTAAACATCTAGAACATGTTCTCAGGTCTCATCGCATATGATGTCCGGAGTATCGTAAGCATACAAAGCCCTTCGTTCGTTTCATATTGAAGATTTGTGTAATGTCGTCATGTAGGTGTTAAATTGACTATTAGCAAACTTACGTCCTCCTTTCGTAGAGACAATGAGTTCCTCGCTGGGCGCCGAGGATCCGACCGCGTTGTACGCAGTGAGGCGCACCTTGTACAGCGTGCCGCACGCCAGCCGCTCCAGCGAGTGAGTGCGAGTGTCGGCTGGGAGCCGGGTCTGCTGCCATCTGGTGGCGTCGGACCGGGAGTACTCCAGTATGTAGCCTGGAATGTACAGGAAGGAATAAGAATAATGTTATGGAAAAATATATTCCGTCTATAATAATAATTATTGTCGAATAGCTATGGCTGTGTAAACTGTAGGTATAGTTTTTGATTCTCAAATTTAGCTTTGCTATTGACATTACCTAAATTTTTGAGACTAACCATGTATATTGGATCCTCCAGAGTGTGGTTTCTCCCACAGTAGCTGCAGGCGGGCGGGCGCGGCGGCGGCGAGGCGCAGGCGCGGCGGCGCGGGCGGCGCCAGCACCCGCAGCTCCCAGGCGGCGCGCTCCTCGCCCCACGGGTTGCGCACTGTGCACGTGTAGTTGTCCGCTGCACTGCGGTCCACGTCTGGAACATTCATCATCGCTTTTTATTTTTGTTCTTAACACTCCCACCTTTATAGGTACATTGGCATACTTAAGCCTTTACGAGTTGTATTCTTGAATACTCACTGGCGTAAACTTATTTATTTATTTATTTATTTATTTAATCTTTAATGTACACAATTTTAATATGGCACATAAGGCGGACTTAATGCCATATGGCATTCTCTACCAGTCAACCTTAGGGTTTAAATAGAAAATCTGCGAAAAATAAGGTACGGAGAATAAACTAACAGCAAAGAGAGAGAGAGGAAAAAATAAATAAAAAGGTAATTATTCAATAATATAGCTATACATATATATTACATAATAGTAAATAGTATATATAGTCATATGCATAAAATATCCTTACTAATATTATAAATCGGAAAGTGAGTTTGTTTGTTTGTTTGTTTGTTCCGCCTTCACGCCGTAACTACTAAACCAATTGCTTTGAATTTTTGCAGACGTAAAGTTAGAAGTCCGGATTAAATAATAGAGTATATTTTATTCCGGAAAAATTTGATATTCCCAAAGGAAAACAAAAGTATTGGTATAGATGGCGCTGTGTGTATTGGTATATGTCACAACAAAGTAGCCTCTTTTTATCCTTTTGTGACGCGAGCGAAGCCGCGGATAAAAGCTAGTATAGGTATAAATACATAAATAAATATATATCGACGAAGACCTAGACCTAGCGTTGCAGCGATTTTAAGTAAAATTCATGAACTTGGTGTTTAAAGGAGATTTTATTAGGAGCTTTTTTGATATTGAGGGGGAGCGCGTTCCAAAGTTTAATGACACTTATTGTAAAGGAATTAGAAATAAAAGAGGTCCGGTGGGAAGGTATTTCAAGGAGCAAGTTATCCGTCGAGCGGAGGTTACGGTTGTGGCAACTGCCTAATAGCTGGAAGCAAGATTTTAAGTAATCTGGAGCACAAGGATCATTAAGAATAGAGAAGAGCATGCAGAGGGATCTGAGGGATCTCCTCTCACTGACAGGAAGCCATTTAAGCTGAGCGCGAAAGGAAGAGATATGGTCGTATTTAGGGTCGAAGACCGAAGATAAAACGGATACAGTTATTGAGCATTCGATCCAATTTGTTAAGAAGGTCTTGGGATAGATCGGAGTAACAAACATCAGCATAATCAACACCAGGAAGCGCAAGGGACCGGACAAGCAGAATCTTGATATTTGGTGGCAGAAAGTTCTTGAACCTGTAGAGAGATCGTAGCGTGGCAGTTACTTTCCGGCCAATCTGAGCAACCTGATAATTCCAGTTGAGCCCGCTGTCCAGATACAAGCCTAGATCCTTTACGTGAGGAGACAATGGTATGGTGGTTTGATTAAATGTTATCGGATCAAGCTGATTGGCATTTAGGCTATTCAAGTAATAGGAGCTACCTAAGATGAGGGCCTGACATTTGCCTACATTCACTGCAATCCCATACCTCCTTGACCAGTCTTCAATCGCAAGTCAAGTCAGTGTTGAGATATGCTATGCAAGTGTTCAAGTTAGCGATATCAGCCTGAGCGTATAGTTAGATCATCGGCGTAAAGGTGATAAGAGCATTTGAGGAGACTAGTAATAGAGTTTATAAATAGAGAAAATAACAAAGGAGAGAGTATACCGCCTTTTGGTACACCAGCTGTTAGCCCGCCCCAGTCGGAGAATTCCTGACCAACCGTACCGCCTGCTGGCGACCACGAAGATAAGTAGAGAACCAATCCCGCGATGACGTCGAGAACCCAATCTGAGTTAGCATGGCCAAGAGAATATCGTAGTCAACCGTGTTAAAAGCGTGGAGAAATCGATTAAAACCAACACAGTTAACTTCGAACCCTCCATGCCATGTCTTACATCCTCTGTGACCTTCAGCAGGGCAGTGGATGTGCTGTGCCGGGCCGAAAACCTGATTGGAAGGGAGACAGCAGGTTATGTTTGAATATGTAATGAGGACGTTTGTTTATGAACAACTGCTTCGAGGATCTTGGACAGGTAAGGAAGGATAGAAATGGGTCTGTAATGGTTGGGCTGACAAGGATTGGAGGTTTTGGGGAGTGAATTATATATGCTTTTTGCCACGATGACGGGAATACACCGTAAAAAAATAGAAAAATTTTATTGTGAGTGAAGTGGGAAAGGAAGTGCTCGAATATTAAGGACACCATGGTTCGACCCATCCCATCAGGGCCCACCGCCCTGGATTTGATTGATGCAAAAGCTCTTTGGATCTCGAGGTCAGTCACGGGACTAAATGAAAAAGTGTTAGGAGGTAATATAGACCTGGAAGTTATCTCAGAAATAGTTTTGTGTTTGACTATGTCTGTGAGACCCGTAGATGCAGCGAAATGCGAGTTGAGACTGTTGAGGGACAAGTTTGGTGATAAAACACTTGTTGAAGTCTCACAAACGCCCAGAGTTTTTAAGAACTTCCATATATCAGCCTGCGAAGAGTTTTGAACATTATCAAAAATGTATCGGCGTTTCTTAGTTAGGTTTATCTGGTTACACCGATTTCTCGCTGTCTTATACTGACTCCAGTTTTCCTGGCTACGATCTCTCCTAAACCTACAAAACGCCTTGTTGCGGCGCCTCATAGCCATCCGGACACCCGGGGTTATCCACGGAGCCGGAGGACGTCGGAGACGGACTGCCTTCAGAGGAGCGTGAGAATCCACAAGTCTCAAGACGGTTTTATTGAAGCAATCCACTTTCTCATCTATAGAAGTCGATTGATATAAGTTTGTTTGTTTGTTTGTTGTTAAGTAACTTACAACATATTATAACATAACATCACGTCATTTAAAGTCACATAATGGCGGAAACTTGTTACCTATTACTAAATGCTTTATTGAGTCTTTCGCAAACAGATAGGTACTTTAAAATTTAAGGATTAATCAATGCAACTTACTAAGAATTATAAGATAGGGTCCATCGATGAGGAAATTAGCATCATGTGCTAGCGGTGGCGCAGGTCGTCGCCGCGACCACGCGCGGTGTGGCGGCGGCGCGCCAGCCGCAGCACAAGTTACTCGAGCTCGACTGCCTTCCTTCGCCTCCAGTCGACGCCCGAACGATGTGATTTTAGCTGGAGCTAGAAAAATCAAAGACTTCTATAATTAAAAGATTTAACGGTAGCTGTAGATTATTCTCAAATCAATCGTTCCATTGAATAAAGCTTCACTTCATTTCCTAAGCCTCACCTCTAGGATTTGGTTTCCTAGCGACTATGGCACTCATCTCTCCCTCACCAGACGCTGTGGCTGCTGTCACCCAGAACTCATATACGATGTGTTCTTGAAGACCTCTCACTTCAACTTGATACTCCTCCTCTTCTTCTTTGTGTAGCACCATCATATGTGAGTGCTGGCCTGTTCTGTAAAATAATTTTTTATGTTATAATTTTCTTACAACTTGTACTAGTACGAATATTTATCTAAATGATATCAAAGGTACCTTTGTGGTCTATTATAGACAGTGTAATGCTTGATCTTGCCATTCTTCTGCAGTGGTGCAAGCCAGCTCACGATCACTGTATCTTCAGAGTTGGCTACTGCTTTTATGTCCATTGGAGCTCCAGGTACTAAAAACATTTATTACCCATATTGTACTAAAACTATTATAGGTACCGTACAAATATACTTCAAATATTTTGTTAGGTCTTTACTTACTGTCTTCATGTGTGGCACAGTAAACGGGTTCAGAAGTAGGGCCGGTCCCGGCTGCGGTCCTTGCGCGCACCGCTATACTGTAGTTGGCAGCTCTCTGCAACGCCTGTAGCACGGTCTCCATACCACCAGAGCGACGAGTCTCTACTTGACTCTCCAATTCGTCGACAGTCTGTGCAAAATAGTTATATATACATTGTGGGTATTAATACATTATTATAATGCACTTTGATAACTAATCATACACCTGCTACTAGCATACCTCATACAGTACTTCGTATCCCAGCAACACTCCGCCTCTGAGTGCTGGTGGGGGTGGCTCCCACCATACGCGTACTGACTGCGCTGACAGTGGCTCGCAGCGAACTCGCTCCGGAGGACCTTCTGGAGCTGTGAACGATGATTAAAATGGCGATAATGCACAATCACAATAAATAAATAATATTGTAAAATGTGGGAATTGTAACCATTGCGTACCAACAGTTCAATTGTGTAGTTTAGTTTAAAGATCTCATATAATTATGACAGTTTCTAACCTCCTTCAAGGGTAGAGGCAGTAAGTGGCGCGCAGGGTGGACCGGCTCCTACGGCATTGAAGGCGCGCACCTTGACCTCGTACTGCGCATGCGTACGCAGCGCCACAAGCACCGCGTGGGCCGCGCCCCACCCTGCCGCCGTCAGCGCAGATGTCTTGTTGTCCCCTGACGATGATACTTCATGCCACGTTACGACATAGCCGAGGAGCTCACCATTCCATGACTCTTGTGGTGGTGCCTAGAACAATAATTCAATGGACAAGTCAGATTTGGTGACTTTGAGTGGTAAAATGACGCGTGCCTTTCACTTTTTATGTCTGTCTCTCTCGCTCTTAGGCGGGCTAACCATGCCCGAGTGGAAGGGACACGTGCCTCTCACTCGCGCTCATTGTGAGCGCATAACGTGAGCGGAGCGTAACGCAGTTTCTTGAAGTGTCACCCGGCAAACCAATTTATAAGACGTTGTCACGTCAAAAGAACAAGCTTGAAAATGATTGTCTACAATGTTCACCTGCCATTTCACGAGTAGCTCTCCTGGTGCGGTCGCCTGAACTTGTACATTATGAGGTGGTTCTGATGGAGCTGGAAATAAACAATGGATTTGTTGTTTCATAAATTATTTTCGTGAACACTTTTGTCTTCCGCAGTACAGTTACTATGGAAGCTAGTATGATACACCGCTATAAAAATAATGCTATTTCCTACTTCTGGTTTATTTTAACTATAGTTAAAGTATAACTTACTAACCTTCTTCTAAAGTCTGTACAATAACAGGCTCCGAGTAGTCACTATCACCTATAGCATTGACTGCAGCGAGTCTCAGTGCATATGCTGTGGCCGGTCGCAAACCTTCTACTCTATATTCCAGGTTCACTTCCGAGCCAGAGTCGGGGTCCTGTCTATAAATTATAAAAGAAAAAAATTTATTAAATTCTTTTATTTCTTAGATTGAATCTTATTAATTGAATATTTTATGTAATGTTGTTAGTATGGTGAGTAAAGTGAGTACTTAATTATTTAAGCGTAGAAATCACTCTTTATCACCTTTCAATGACCCTCTCAGCTGGTACATCTCTGGTAGGTGCGTCAGCCCAGTCTCCTGCGTCAGGTCTCCTTGTGTCCCCCACTACGCGATACTGTAGACGGTACAGCAACACGCGTGCGTTGCCGTCGTACCCGCGCCGCCAAGATAGGGATGCGCCGCGACCTGAACGACGTGATACATGCAGCCCTACTGGGGCTTCGGGAAACTCTGAAAATAATAAAAAGAATTGTCATAAGCATAAGCTATAATTGGTTATTAGACGTCCAATGAAAGTTTTGAATTAAAAATTCTCTTGATAACTGCTGGAAATAGTTACCTTGAACAGCAAGATAAATGAGCAGTTCATCTCTGCCGTATGCGTTTTCGGCTCGACAGCGATACACTCCAGAGTCATGCCGTTCAGCGTGTGCTATGCTCAGTTGTGAGCTGACGCCACTGTCTGATCGCTTCTCTGAGACTGATACCCTAAAAACACGCAAAGTATTTATTTGAGTACTTAGGTAAGTACTTGCAGAATATACCTGCAAAATATTTGCAGAATTTCTTAGTTTTTTTCTTTTTTTTTTCTTTAAAAAGAACGTTGCCCCACACTAGGATTATCTCGTGTGTCGTGGGTGCGTTTACAAACATACAAGTTCACATACACATGACACCCAGACCCGAAACAACAATTTGTGGATCACACAAAGTGTTGTTCCGTGCGGGAATCGAACCCGCGACACGTCGCACGGCAGCCGGTTGCCCAGCCACCGCACCAACCATCGTTAGTTGTTACCTGTAAGTAGTGAGATCCACCCTCTTCATGTTATGTGTCCACTGCAGTTGTATAGGTGGATCTCCTCGTGCATCACACTGCAGTGTCGCTTGCGCAGTCCTTTTCACAGTCATGTTGCGTGAGGAAAACTCGAAATGAGCTGGCTCTGAAAAAACAAATATTCACCTTTGTAAAATGTTAAAAATTTTGATGAAAATTGAAAAAAGTGCGTTTTATTGTAGTACTTACCATTGACGGATACTGCAATAATTTTCGAAAGTCCCCTTCCAATGCCATTCTCTGCACGACACATGTATTGACCCTCATGATGATGAGCGGCTGGTGCTATGCTCAGAGATCCATTAGGAAGCACAGCGAACTGGAGATCCAGGTTTGAAACTGGTCGGAAATCACTTTCACCTGATCCTGGGAAAAAGCAAAAACATTATGTAATGAAAAATCTATTAAATTAATAAAGTTAAAATGTATAAGACTGCACTCACCATGACCTTTGAGCCAAGAAATCCTCGGTTCAGGGTATCCTTTGGTAGAACAGTGCACTAAAATCTGGGTTCCTAAGAGAGCAGATACGTCTTGGGGCTCATACACCCATGACGGAGCCACTGGAACAAAAGATAGATTAATAGTTAATTTCAACCTGGAGGTCTTGATATCTTACGTGATTGATGAGTATGGATGGCATTCACATTACCTTTCACAGCCAATCTAGCGGTGTGGTTCACCTCTGCTGCAGAGTTACTAGCAACGCAGGTATAGTCCCCGCTGTGTTTCGACGTAACGTGAGAAAATATGAGGAAGCTGAACTCGTCCAGTGACTTTTCTTGGACCTGGAAAATATAAGAAATACATAAATACAATTCGTAACAATTTAAAGAAGTAATAATTTTGTACTTTTCAGTACCTGTAAGCCAGACGGTATATGCTGTCCATCTTTGAGCCAGGAAAAATAAACTGGTTTGTCTCCCGACGTGATCCCACACAGAACTTGTATTGAGCTGCCTTCGACTAAATCCAGTGGAAACGAGAAACCGGCAATTTTTGGCGGATCTGAAATCATAAAATTGATATTTAGAACTGAAAAATTATTGATAATTTTATGATGAATAATTTTCTTAATTAAGAAACTTACTTCTCACGAAGATCTGAACATCTTTCTGTGCATATTGTCCCGAGGGTGACGTCACTCTGCAAGAGTAGACTCCTGCATCAGCAGGCTCTGCTGGCCACAACAGCAGTTCTCCTCCAACTCCTGACAGCGCACGACCTCCGGTAGAACTAACGTCCAGTCCACCACGTTGCCATCGAATCTCACTAGAACGTAGAATAATTTATGGTAATTGGTTATGGATCAGCTTGATTTATTTTATTGAACTTAAATTTTGTTTTGTTCAAATACTTAACAAATAGTTAGGATAGAGAGGGATTTAAACTTATGTAAAAGAGAGTATTAGGAGAAGAATGACAACATGGAAAACAGGCCAGGGACAACTACAAAGAAGAAACACAACACTACGAATACCAATGTAGAGTAAAATCGAGTCATCTAACATCGAACTACAAAACAAAACAAAATGAAACTTATAATTTTACTAAGCAAATGCACCTCCATCAACCTGATTGGAAATCCGGAGAATGGACAGTAGATGGTGGTGTTCACGCCGGCCACCACCCTCACAGGACCGATGTTACGGATCGAAGGTGGACCTGAATAGGCGGACAAAATCCTATTTTTATTCTGGTCTTTCTAGATTATTATTTCCAAAGAACATCGTCATATTTTTATTAGCATTACTTTCGTACCTTTTTTGCTATTACATTGATATCAATATTATATAAGTGCCTACGTTACTTTAAATTTGTTTTTTCTTGTGTTTTTTGTTTACTCTAGAAGGAAAATTACAATACTCAACAAGACCCTCACCATATACATTAAGCCTGGTGGAATGCTCGACGGCTCCCCGGGAGTTGTGCGCCCTACAGGTGTACCGGCCGCCGTCCTCAGGCCGCACTGAAGTCAGGTTCATGTAGCTCACCACATCGCCGTTAGAGTTCAGGAACTGACTTATACTTCTGACAACACAAAACAATAATATATGGCGAATACTTAAAAATTCGGTACACTTTGAGTCAGTCATTTTCATTAATTGTGAGAGTAGACAGCTGCTAGCTACTCTATAGATGCAGATTCCGTACAAAGTCGACTGCACGTTGGCGCGGTGGCTGAGCAACCAGCTGCCGCGCATCGTGTCACGGGTTCGATTCCCGTACGGAATAACTCTTTGTATCCACAGATTGTTGTTCCAGGTCTGAATGTCATGTGTATATGATCTTGCATGTTTGTAAACGCACCTACGACACAGGACAAAATCACAGTGTGGGTTTGGGCGATTTAAAACACCGTAACCCGATCAAAGATCCCATCCTCGATTCTCAATAGTTACCTAGTCGTAATAACCAATATAACATACACAGAGGTATTAAAGAAAATGAAATAATTTGCATCTCATTTGTACCATAATAAATCTAGGTACTGCAATAAGAAAGTTTATAGCATCCAATTCAAAGTACAGCATTCAGGACGGTAAAATTTAGCTCAAGATATGTCAACGTGAGCACTAAAATATATTCACGAGTTATATGGAACTGGGGATTTCCGCAACGGAAAAGGACCAATCTCAGAATGTGATGATAACACGTTAGTGTTATGTAGATAGTAGATACGTACGAAGTCCAAATAGTAAAGTTTAAAACCCATGGGCATAGTAATGCGCGAGGAACGACGCAATAAACAGTCCCTTATCCGAATTGATTTCCAACCTTATGAAGTCACGTTAACTAGATACCTAGTTTTCTATTCGAAAGTTATTTGTTTTTTTAAGGTAGCCAAAAGATAAACAGGCCCTTCCATTTTTTTATGAAAAAGGTTTTCTCCACGCTTTGATTTTCTTTTGTATTCTGTGCGGGTATCGTATATTCCAGATTTAACTTTGTAGTCTAGTTATAATCCTAGACTGGAATTAAAGTTAACTTTCTACAAAGTACCTTTGTGCAGTATTGTGTTCTTCTACTGCCTGTCCGTCTAGCAGCCAGGTGAAACGGGGCGGGGGGCTGCCGGACGCGGCGCAGTGCAGTGCCAGGGACGGACCGGGGTGCAAAGCTTGCTCTATGAACGTATAATGCAGCTCCGGTGCCGTGTCTGAAAACAAATTAAAATAAAGGTCAAAGAAACGATGCCTAAGTAATTTTAGTGCCTATAAATCTTTCACGTTAAGCGCCCCATCAAATGAGCAAAGAAAATTGCTCATTACATCTGACAGGTTTATTTTAATATTAGACCCGCAGCTGTTCCTAACTTAATATCTTACGACGAATATTAGCACAACCTTCAACTTTGTTATTGTACTGTAAAGACGTATTTATTATCCTTGTTAGTAAGTATATTGATTCTGTACGACTGTAATAAGCAGTCAGCAATTATTCTTGCGAAGTGTTACATCACAGCAGAATCCAATCAGTGTACAGCCGAATGTATGGCGGCCGTTTATCACGAATCATAACGGGGTATCTGCCATTAGCGGCGGATTTATCGCACTCGTGACGCCGACACATCATTGTTTATGTTATAATATGTTAGATACCGGGTGATGTAATACTACTGTCGGAATTTCGGGCCAGAATTCCGTCATTAAGCGCTGTAATAAAATTTGTTTGAATGTGCGTGCGTAATGAAAAATCTAATATTTTATATTAGTTAGCTTATTTTTATTAATTTTAGGAAGGCCTTAAAATACGCGCCTCTTCCCTAGTAACAAGCATTAAGAAGGTCGTAATATGCGGACTAATCCGTGATATGACATGAACTAAGCTGGACAGTCCCACTTACGCTCACATAACCAACGAGATAATCTCTGTTTACTACTAACACAGCATAATTCCAGTAATTACACACTGACCGCGTCACTCTAGCGAAACACTAGCTAGACCACGTCACTCAAACACTAGCAACCCTTAACATGTTGGCATTCGCATACCGAAACATGGCGGCTGAGCTGGGAGGCTGAGCACAGTCATAAATCTTGGCAAATAAATTCAATTAGCCGCAACACTAACATAATAACGAATGAATACAATGGCCGCCGGAATTATGAGGGTCTAAATTGTGAGCGGCCAGCGTTTCTGAGAGCTTTATTACAGGCCGTACCGGACGCCGTGACAGACAATATGTCAGCGTGTGGTACAAGTGTGAGTGAGCGCGGTTACTTCATTGTGGGAAGGAATTAGTATTTTATTTTGTTGCATAGTGTCATTAAACTGATTAGTTTTTTTTTTCATTTTTAGAAAACGTTATCTACTGGGATTATTTTTAACCAAAACATAAACTTGTGGATCTCATAAAGAGTTGGTCCGTGCGAGAAAGGAACCCGCTACACGTTGCTCAGTAGTCAGTTGCCCAGTCACACGTCAACCATGCATTCAGAAACAACTTTTAAAACACTTTAGACTTAACAATATTTTTTAACCAATCGCGGTCACTCACCACTGAGTCCGGCACCGGCACATTATTTTTGGCACAGCGCCCGCTCACAACGCTAGCTCTTGTAAACGTTGTATCGTTTTGCGCGAATTTATATCAGATGCTCGCTGATAGTCGGCTAATTGTATAATTGTGTGCGACGCGCTTATCCGCCGGGCAGCGTCCGTGCCACACTCACAGCGCACAGCGGGCACAAACCAACTAATTTATTACTTGACGTATTGTTTCCCGATTGTTCCATAAAATTATGGAATTAGAATCGGAAGTAAGATTAACGAGTGGAGGAAATTGAGTTGGAATCTACTTTTGATTGTTTGAATTTATTATTTTAACCTAGATTTTACTTTGTTTTCAAAACAATTTGTCCCGATATTTCATGCAAAGTTGTGACCTCGATCAATATGACTGTAGGGCACAGACTCGTACAACGTCTTATGTTGCTCTCAGCCACAGAGGCACTCACCACATAGAGACCTTATAAGATCCTACATCAGAAGCCTTAGAAATGTAGAGAGTCTGGACCGCGCGCACTCGACCTGCTCACAGTGAAACTGATAGCTTCCTAGGAATACCTATCTAGAGTTTGTATTACGACAATTGTGGGATGAAACTTTACAAGTGAAACATTACTATACCCCTAGAGGACGGACCTTAATCAATATTATTTATGCTATACCTCTAAACTTCATGATTCGTATTACATACAAATCAGTGTTACTGGACGGGTGTCTTTTGAAAACTATTTTAATTCAAAATAGTTTTAGCAAGTATTAAAAGCGTTACGAAACTCAAGCAAAATCCGTGAATGAAAATATTTAAAACAGGGGCGCGAAGTTTGAGGCGCAAGAAACTACTCGCGCGGAATGTTGGTCTTAGCTCGGGAGAATTAACGGGAGCTAAGCTGCTCGCGGCTTTCGGATTTAATCATTTAATTTTATATTCTTTCATGCAATAATTTCTTGGGTCATTGCCAACTTGGTTGAAGAAAACGGAGACGGAAAACTTTCCAAAAAAACTAATACGAATTGTATATTCTCTTTTGGAAGTAAAATTGTATTTAGGTACTTGAACCTCCACATATGAAAATGGATAGTGCGGAAAACATATTGGAGTGAATATAATTTTGATAAATTTAACAGCCAACGTGTGGGTCAGTCGGGTAGTGTAGGACAGTTTGTGGTATGCGTAAGTGCGTTCCATAGCCAAAGTAATAAATTGTTCGGACATGGATTCCAAACAACGGGTGCGATAGAATTATCGAAGTTATGTGTGTTCTGTTAGTGCTCTATTAACATATTAATTTAGGTGTGAATTGATTGTGTGTTTTAAGTGTGGGAGAGTCATGCTTCGGCATGAATGGGCCGGCTCGACCGGAGTGATACCACGGCCTCACAGAAGAACGACGTGAAATAACGTTGTGTTGTGTTTCGTCGTGTGAGTGAGGTTACCGGATGCCCAATTAAAATAACCTTCCCCCCCTTTCCCTGAATCCCCAACAATCCTCAAATTCCTAATCCCAAAAGGCCGGTAACGCACTCGTAACGCCTTTGGTGTTCCAGGTGTCCATGGGCGAAGCCAATTACTTACCATCAGGTGATCCGTCAGCTCGTTTACCGGTTTATCCCATAAAAAAGGTGTTACATACATATTGTATTAGGTACCATTATTGCCCAATTAATTATTATTTATTATGTAATATTACAGAAAGAGTATAGAGATTACAGAGTTAGCTAATAGAAATAAAGAAATGAAAAGGGCAGACGAAGAAAACTCTTCTTGTAAAGCGAGTCATGAAACACTTAACCATGTTGTATTTAGTACCTACATAACAGAAGAAACAATAAAACGATATTATTAGAAGCAATATCTCATCGCGACTAATCCAGCAAGTACGTAAAATATATGACGTCATAGATCGTCTCTATTATTCCATTAGAGCTATCCGGATAATCCTACGGTTTGACTTACGGGCTGTCCGCGACATTATTGCGCAAGTTATGGCCACCATAACGGGCGCAGCAGGAGGTATGCTCGGCTATAGGCAAGTTATTAGTCACGCTCGATGCCCAACACTGGCTCCCACCTCCCAAATATAAAGCAATTGAGAATCAGGATATAAAGAAACTTTTTACTTCTATCGCAGTCGTTATCTTTGAGTGCCAATTGTAATAATGCTATCGATACGAATGACATATATGAGGTTGTAGCTCACGTTTGTTTATTACGTTCTCAGTTAGATTTCCCGCATTTTACTTTCAAAACATTGTGCGCATTTCTCTGCGGTTTCTCATTCCGTGCATTTCTCGGTTCTTTGCAAGCAAATGACAAAATTCCAACGAAATAAGACTGTTTGTACGCTGCTGTGTATTTTTCTGAACATTTCATTAAACTACACACTGCAGCACTAGCTGCTGTACAGAGAGGTATTGTTTAACTAAAGGCTTAGAACGTCTTAGTGTTGTGCACTCTTTTCCTTTACGAGCAAAACTCAGCGAAGTACGCACTACCTGCGGAGTATGCTGCGCAAAGGTATGAAGCTAGTTACCTCACAAAGCTTTTGTCGGGAAGTAAAGAGGTTTTGTTGCACGATGATTGTGGAAAGATAGTGGTTGTGAGTACTATTATAGTATAATATACTCTTTTTATTATTATAGGTATGTACAGTATTCCGGTATTGTAAAACTTGAGTGCGTCGAAATTCAACTTCAAATACAAATAAAGTTGAGAACAAATCAAAAAGTACGAATACGTTTTCTATACCGCAGCGGCACAGAGTACAAGCATCAGGTGCGGGTCTATCGCAACCAATAAATATATTAGAAGGCTCCAACATAAATCGAATGATCAAATATGTACGCAAGTAGATGACGAATGTTACATTAATAATAAGCTTTCATTTTCTTTCTCCATGTACTGTTTCCGCCGTTAATGTCCATGAATAACGAAGTCGCAAAGTTTTTGAAGCAAGGCTTGAATGGGATTATAGGCTCCGGCGGCCCGCATATTTCTTACTTTGTCGTATTAGCACTGTCAGACCTTGTATTTATGGTGTTGCCATTTTTCCTGCTCCTGCTACTAAACGAAGCAAATTCCATGAGCGCAGTTATTTAACGGGCTTACTTGCAATGTCTGATAATGTTAGCACTTTAACTGACAGATAGTCTGAGCTTGTTAGTTGAAATTCAATGACAGAATACAGAATCTTTGGAGAGAACTATAACTAGGTGTAGAAACATAGCAACAATACGGTTTAGTTTAGCAAGTCCATGTCGTAGGTGACCTAGTTAGGTGGCAGGGTGTGCCTATACAGGGGCAGGTTTTAGGTGTATCATAGGGGACTATGTCTTTGTGCAGTGTCCTCTGCTTGATGCCTGCAATAGATCGCGCCGGACGGTTCAACTGACGGTGTCAAGTTGTGCACTGAAGTGGTGATGACAAGCCGAAATGTGATATAAGTAATCTAGATAACTAATTGTATCTTTGATGAAACCATTATCTGAGGTAAAATATTAATCACTTATTAGTTTAAATCATCATTTTCTTTTTTAATTTTGAAATGATGAATATTTATTTTTTTAATTTCAAATTCCATTCTTATTCATGTCTTTATCCCAATATTATTTTTAGCAAGAACTAGTAGCTGACTTGTTTTACAATGTGTCGGTATAAATACGAAAAATTAATTCATGTTATATAATGTAAATAGAGACCAAACATAATCTATCTGAAACACGCTATCTCTCTTGACTCGTGGTGCGGTGACGGCGGGTGACGCATGGCCGGTCCAGTCATTGCTGCTCCCGTTAATCAATAACCCGACGACATACGAAATCGCACCGCACTGCACTCCGCAAAATTACACCAGTTGTAATTACACACCGAAGTGGCCTCTGATTGGCCAATCGACTCTCAAAGGACGTTAATCGACCAATCAGGAAGCAATTTTCGATTCGAGAAACGAGTTTTTTTTTGGCTTCTGTTGACGGCTGCAGTTATTTTATTTTTGATTTGTGAACTTTGTAAGTAACAGTCTGTGCGCCGGCTTTTAGACTTTTACATTAAATATAAGAACGTTACAAAGTGCTGTTGAGCATTACTTTTTTAGCCATTACTGTTTAAATGTGCATGTATAAAAAATATTGATTTTAAATACCACCGAATACTGTCACTTTATGAGGAGAGTACCAACAAAGACAACATATTATAAAATATTTCGTCCCTCTATCCCACGATGTCATTAAAATAAAATAAAAACAAAAGGTAGAAAAATAAAGTGATCTGGTAATCCCAAAAACACAATGGCGAAACTGGCAAGTCCTAAACAAATACGTGAGGATGGCCTTGAACCGTCCATTAATTCCAAATGGACCCTCGGCATGGGACTAAACATTTGTTGAAGGGAATTAATTCCGTAAGGACTATCGAGTTTTTCTGGATCCAAGATAAATAGACAAAGTTCTTACAGAGAACAACACTTATATCACAGATAGGTAAATTGTACGTCTTCTACGTTTGGGGAAATACGGTTGTTAAAACTTATACGTAATTATTTCGACAAATCCTTTTGAATAAAATGTATAAAATCATTTAAATTTGTCACACGTACTTACCAAGCCGTAGCGACGCGTTCTGTTATAATTTAATTGAATCACCTTATCAGCTCGTTTTCTTAAAGAGGTTCCTGAGAAATTTTCAAGTAGCGAACATAAAATAAACAGACGAAACGAACATTTCTGCCGATTCAAGTGTACTTGCAGAGGTTCGTCTGAACAAAAATATTTCAAGTAGAATTAACACTTTTTGAGTAGGTAGGCCTGACAATGAATGATGGAACTGGGACGAAACTGATTGGGGTTAAATACGCCAAGTTTATATTTATTTGAAAGAGTCTGGATTATAGCTTTGTGCTGCGTGAGTGACGGGTCGGCGTGACCTGTCGCTGCGAGCCATCACAAGTGTCACTAGGATCCAAAAGGACCAGATCAAATTATTATTGAATATTGATTCGGTTCGGATCCGAGTGAAACTGCTAAAATCTAGACTGGCCATAAGTTTACTTTTAAAAATATCAAACCAGTCTTAAACAATAGTTTTCTATAAGTAATATATGTATTTGTTTTACTTCGAAAAGCATTGAAGTAGGTATTAGTAATATTGTATTGATTTAGGTGAGTGTACTCTGACCAAATTACTCCGTGTACACACTGCTCCGGGCTTGAAGTGGCCTTTTACGTAAAGCCTACAACTATTGGGGCTCCAACACGTAGTGTTTATTGATATTATTTTAGCGTTTTGTTTGTCTCAGTACGTCGGTATTGTGTTACCTCCTAGTCTCAGCTCTGCTGCGGCCTGTGCGCTGTCCAGGTCCCTCTCAGCGAAGCACTGGTACATGCCGCGGTGTGCCCTGACGACTCCGTGCACCCTCAGCGTCCGCTCCCCGCCCCCCACCGGCACCCCATCATGCAACCATCTCACGCGAGCATCCCCACCTTCCACCGAACAGTTGAACGCTACCGAGCTCCCAGAGTTCGCTACCTGTGGGAAAAAGATTATTTTCCATGATTTTTTAAACGTGTTTTCTCTCCAAAAATATATTTGTACCGTAACGAGGGAGCGTTTACAAACATAAATCTCTCATACACAAACAGTGAAACCCGGAAAAGCTTTCTGTGTACCGAACAAAATAAATTAATCAAATGGAAATCAATGTTTGTTTGTTTTTTTTTGTAAAACAACCTGAAAGCATGACGTCACATAAAAATGTAACAATTTGGTAAAATGTTGAACGTATAGTGGCACGAAGAGATAATGCGTTTCTAAATCCAATAATAAATTTTAAATTTTTACTTATAATTTTATTTGCATTTTAAGCCAGATAATTAGGTATCGTTGCAAGTGAAAAAAAGAATAATTAACCCAATTACCCCAACTGCTGGAACTCGATAAACAAGCGACAAATACGAGCGAGTCGCCTCAAGACGACCCGTGAGCTCGTCCTCATGAATTATTCAGGAGGACGTCACCTAGTGACTACGTCACGCCGCATGTCGGCTCAAACTGGATTACTAGGGCTGCTAGCAAATGGTACGGGCTGCTATAGTCTTTGATCTCTTGTGTTGGGTATTCAATTACATTTAGCGTTACTGTATTCGTGTATATTTCTATTTATTTTGCATGAGGCTAATGGAATTTTCAACAGCAGAATTTAAAAGTTTGAATTTATTTAGATAAACATTTACATGCGTGTAGTAGGTAATGTACAAGAATGTACTAGAATGTAATAGAATGTAATATAATAGTAGACATTATTAGAACTTATCGATCGCAGAAATACGTCGTATAATTTTATTAACATCCTCCTTATTTGTAGGCATGAGTGATCAGAATAATAGAATTTGTATCATATTATTATAATCAGAACGAAAATATTATCATCCATGCTTACGATATAATCCGTTTCCTATAAGGTACGATATATGTGGAGCACGGTGGGGCGGGGTCATCCTGTGCCGGAAGCCACGCCGCAATAAGGAAGTGATAGGCAGTGAGTATTGACAGTGGAGCATTCGGAGCATTCCCAACGTGAACGGCAGCTGATATCAATACGACGTCCGGCGCAGTGACAACCCTATGACAAGGGATATTGGCTACCAGCGCTATTCAACACAGTACGTGAATAATTTATTGTTATGGTCAAATACATATACGTTACACTCGGGTTATAAATATCTGGATTATAAGGCTGCGATCTTTACGGTTATAATCTGACTAGTTTCAAAAAACTAAATATATACCTGTAGGACATGATATTGTTCTCAAAATACTTTCAAAGGTATATTTATAGAAGTTTTACGTGGGTACAATGATAGCATTAAGGAGAACCATAGTAGGATTAATTTACGTAGCTCTTACTTTTTGATATATTTTTAATGTAATTATTTCTGAGCTATAAGTGAAATAAATGGATGGACGATATAAATTCATCAATTTCGTATGTCAAGAGTTATTAATAAACTTTTGATCTTGAGTTAACTAATGAAAACACTTTTGTTCAGTTCTTAATCAAATTATGTACAGGCGATATTTACTTGTGAATTAAATTACGGCGAATCAAGCTGGTTTTATTAAATTTGATGGGCTGAGTCCCAGAATTAATTAAAAACCAGAACAAACGTTTTATATGGGTCATTGTCATAACCGCCTAAAATTGTGTTACATACAGAAAAAAAAGACTTAAATGTAAATAAAATACCATGTCAATACTTTATAGTAAAGATAAATAATCAATAATTCAAAATTTATAATCGTAATTTCAAATAAAATTAAAATAAAGTATTTATTAAACAATTTCGAAAGAAAAGTCCGCTTCGGTGGGCTGTTACCGCTCTCCCTCTTTATGCAAATTCGATCATATAATGAAAACTAATATGCACAGTTAACCTTTTAATATGTTTTCCCAAAATAGATATGCTAATTACTTTAATACCTAAAAACTAAAAATAACGAATTAAAATAAACACACTTTTTGTGCATTGCAATATTGTTACTAAAATCTACATCTATTTGGTGGACTTAATTCATTAATAAAAATTATTATGAAAATAATAAAATTTTGTAAACGGAACGTAATTCATGAACGCGTCCTATACTCAACTTATCACGCGCAGCGCCCTTTTGGACGCGGCTCGCATACGAACGAAATTATTGTTCCTTGTTTAAAAATAGCTGACGGTGTCAAAGTTGAGTGTATCTTTTCGGTTCCTTGTGTATTTTGGCAAGTGAAACCTCAATAATTCATAACTTAACGTTATGTGTTAGATTTCTATAGTATTTATCTAAAAAGACTTGTGGTTTTAAGATAACCGCAAAATAATGCTTGGAATGAAATAATTTGTCAGAAAAATCCATTTGGTGGACATCTTTTCGGTGGAATTTGTGTCCACCAAAAAGATAAATGTCCACCAAGTGGATGAAATATTTTATTTTTGTTTTGTGCACTCTGATTTTGCATGTGGTTGTTAATGCGAATTAGATTTTAACTGCATAATAGAAATATTGCATTCGGGAGGCGGTTTTTACGAATAATATTATTATTGCGGATACTGTTTTTGGCGTTTTACGTTAGGCGTAAGTTATCCAATAATAAATAAAGCAACAGCGTACATGGCAATGTACGCTGTTGCTTTATTTATTATTAAAGTAGAATAATATCAACGATACACGAATAAAGTACCTAAGCTACTTGACATGTTTCCATCGCATTTAAAAATCATCTTCAGGGTGATGTCAGATTCTCCTAGACAATGACTAAATTTGTCGGCTTGCAGTTGACTTATACGTGAAACATTTATTTGTATTCCATTTCGTTTGTGCTCTGTGCCTTGCTTAGGCTTCCTTTTTTTCTTTATCCACAAACAATTGTTAGAACTAGAAATAAATTGACTGGAGATGAGAAGAAGAAAAGAAGACGCGAACAGAAAAAGTTAAGTAAGAAAGATCCAGTAGCATTAGAAGAAAAGTGGAAAAAGGATAGAGAGTACTACCATAGGAAAAAATCACTAGGAGAAATTAAGACAATAAATGATTTATCAGATAGACAGCGGAGACAACTACGAAACAAATGAAGAAAGGACGCAAAATCACGTAGAGATAGACTAAAGAAACAAGAAGACTTAGGTTGTATAAGTCTTGACTTACCACTACACAATTTGCACATTAAAGCCCCAGTTCAGTGTTCTGTTTCCAGCCCTTTACCGAGTCTACCAAGCCCATTAATGAGTCCTAACTGGACTCCAATAGTCCAACAGCTGCTCAACTCGATAGATAGATAAAAGTTGAGGCCAACAATTACTAGGACACAAAGCAATGATTTACAAAAACCAACCTGCTCCAAAATCATGCAAGGCCTTAAAAGTCGTTAAAACCTTAAGTTTGCCGATGTTTACTCCGACAGTTCATGATCACCACCTACTTCAAGACCCGAAACTCCGATAGAAGTACTCAAGACGTATTTTCAACATTTTTGGTCGTCATCCGAGGATGAAGATATTATGTCCACCAAGAAGACATAGTGTTTTTGGTGGACAAAAGGCATTATTTTATTGTAATTTACTTTTCAATGATACTGCGTTGACTTTTTTTTATCGTTTCCTGTGAGACGATTAGATTAATATTATAGAAAAAAGATTCTATTATTATGTTAAGATTGCTGCTAAATTACACTTTTAGTACATTCGGTAGACATCTGTGTCTTTTCGGTGGACCTATAAAAACGTTTTTTTTAAATAACTATTCTAATTGTTAAGTTTGATCTCAGACAATAATTTATTATTGTTACAATTAATCATTTTTATTAAATAAAGGACAAATTCTTTAGAAATAATTGTATTTGTTTTATTTTTTTATCTGAACCCTGTTTTGACAATGACCCATATGTAACAATAGACATTTGTCTGTACACAGGACAGCCGAGACACAGATTTGTGCTCGTAAACTTAATTAGTTGATTATATTGTTGAGTTATTTATTATTCCATGTCGATTATCGATAAACCAATAAAGATAATATTATTCTCTCAGCTTTAAATGATGAATGTGTAACACGGTTCACTATAAAATAAAACAGCGACATATAATTGTTCAATTTTATAGTTTCCCAGTAGTCGAGTGTTGTCTGTCAGTTGCTAACTACTTTTTCCATTAAACCGTTCCCGTAAAATATAAAATAGAAGAGAAAGGCGTGTCATTCATTCCCAGTGCAATGCAACTAACGCAGCCATCCAACATGAAACATCGAAACTATAAAAAAATATTTCAACGTATTTTTACATGACAGAGGTTCGCTCGCTGCCGTTGTACATGCATACCTAGATACATATATGTATGTAGAGGTAGATAGTCGTCTCTACTACTTTATATAGGCAGGTTGTCGTTTTGTACCTCGCGATCAATTTGACTATGCATTTGAGTTCAAAGTTTCGCGAAAATGGTACTTACTGAAGTGCAGACTGACATTAAAATTCTGTTCGAAATCACATATTTTCGAATGTTGTATTAAATTTGGAAAGAGTTATTACGATATATTATATTTCAACACAATTATAAGACTCAGTACCTAATTGGATTCATTTTAGTAAAGTTCAAACAGAACTTGGTATTTAATTTCAATACTACACAATTATTTATGTTCATTACTTTCGTTACAAGTGAAGTATTTTTAGAATGAAAACTCAAAATTCTGTGGTTGTTCTAGAACCAAACAAAGATTATACTCATCAAATAAGTATTTAAAAAGTAATTAGGTACTGTCCGTATTACATTGACAAACATATTCTTTTAGATACCGAGTCCCAACTTCTGTATGGAATAACCTTTTTTTTTTTTTTTTTTGACCTAAAAATGACGAATTTGTGTATAGAAGTGGTTACATTCATTTGTTTTTGTTGTTAGGAAATGCAACTACGATACATGGCAGTATTATAAACCCAGTGCGGGTGGTATTTTTGTTTAAATGAATAAAATCTCCTTTGTGTTTAACCGCACCCCGCTAGCTACACCGCCTCGCCTCATCTTGTCTATATTCGATGAGCGAGCCGCTAGGATCACATCGCGCGATGTGTCTCGTGTCTTCTGTGATCTGAATACTTATTTTTCAATTTTTGCAACGTCACCCGCCGCTGACGGGAGTTTAGCTGCTCCTCCAAATACAGATGTCGGGGCGTTTGGGACAATTGTGTTTTCTCTTAGCCGCCTTTATGTAATAAAAGGAAATGTTCGCTGGTTATTCTTGTGTTGAAACGTACGCCGCTGTTTATTCACCGACGAGTTCGAAGAAATGCGGCTCACTTGTGCATATCGGCCACGTTCTTGTTAACAAAGATATCGGTTGAATTTTCTATTGGATGTGTTCGGTTGTGGGTAGATATATATTCAGTTTTGTCTGTTGACTAACCTGTAACTGTGGGTGCACGCTGACGACCAGCCTGGACCTGACTCTCAGCCTGGCGTCTCTCCTCTGTTCCCCAAACTGATTGTGCGCCCTGCACGTCCACACTCCGCCGTCTGACAGCTGCGCGCGGCGGATGATCAGCACCTGATCGGATACCGAGATCCTGATGCTGTTTGACACTGGGCTCAGACGACCGTTGGAATGGCGAAACCAGCTGCAACAAATGACTGTTCAGGATATGGAAATTACGAATGAGTTTCAAAAAAGTGCTTATTTATACCTTGAATGATATTTACATGCCCTTCTGTCTATCTATTCGGTAAATAAAAAAGAAACTTGAGATGAACAAAATTGATACAAGTAATGTTGTTATTTATAAAGTTTGTAATGAAACTAAAACCCTGAAAATCAGACAAACCATAACTACAATCACGAACACATTCTGGACTTTTAATGACGTGAGCTGGATTTCTTCCAGCTCGTATTTTAGCAGGGTGTTTATTCCAGCCATTTGGAAGGCCTTCCTAAACATCTGGTCTGGCATAATGGGAACGAAGCCAAGTAGAATGTGCCATTGCGATCAAACTGGCTTCACGAACGGTGTTGTACAATGAATATCTTCATTTATTAATTTATTTGAAGTCAAGAAGAAAACACTGTATGTCACTGTCGCTAGAAACAATTTTGCAGTTTGATAAAATACCTATATGTTGGTGGTGGACTACCAATAGCGCAGCACACTAGTCTGATGTCACCTCCCTGGGGCACCATCTCGTCATCGGACACGGTCAGCATTCGTGGAGCCATGCTCGATGAGGCATCTGTAACACAAGGCCTCATTAGACATACTACTAAATCTAGAATTACGTGCTTCTAGTCATTGCTCTAGAGTCTAGTAGTTGTTAATTTCAAGAATTGTTTTGATGAGGTGTTCTAGAAATTAACTTAATGCGAAGTTCATAGAAATATAGAGATTATATTATTTATCTAAGACGGCCTTGTCTGGCTACTTGGCAAGCACATTAATTGGATATTAACTGGAACTCGTGTAGGTAGACAAAATGTGTTTCTTGTTGAACATTATAACATTGTCTGCAAGATAGCTGGATACTAACAGTTGAAGTCTAACTCAGTGTATTAGAAAACTCTATGTCCAGCGGCATTAAGGTGGATTAGACTACCTCCTCACACGAGTTTTCTATCGTAAGAGTCTATGAACCTGCAAGACCAAATAAACCTGATACTTATAAACTGCTATTGTGGCATCGCCCCACCCACCCCAATCCACCTACTAAACATATAGATTATGGCTAGCAACTATCTTTTGTAGAGGACACCTTTAATCTAGCAGTGTACGCTCGAGGACTGGATGATGTGGGTGACTTTTGGACTGATGCCACTTACGTGAGACAGTGACCATGGCAGCAGGGCTCCTCCTCTTCTCGCCAGTGAGTGCATGCTGTGCCTCACAGGAGTAGGAGCTGCTGTCTTCGGGGCGCGCGTCACGCACCACTAGGACGTCACTGCGACTGCCACCCACTATGTAGCGACCACCTACAATGAAACATGTTAGATGGTTACAACTAAGAGCAGGTTATTAATTACCATGAGAGTACGGATGATCAGGCATTTAATTTTTTGTCACAATTTTCGCGAGTATAAATATGTTTGTCTGCCGGTTCTTTAGTCAAGCTATGTATGTATTTGCTACAAAGTGTGGATTCCTTTATACAAATAATGGCTATCTCTATATAATTTAGTCATGAAATTATGAATTCCTATGACTTTTAAAGTAAAGGGTACGAAAGCCAGTCCACCAGAACCAGTCAGCGAAACACGACGCCGTCTCTTCGTGTGCAATAATTATAATATATGAGTTTTGTTATTGTATATCTATTAGTTTATTGATGATTTCATTTTTGGTATCTGTTTCAATTTTGTATTGTATTTTTATTTATTTGTGTATTATATTTTATATAGGCTACAGTTGCCTGAAATAAAGGAACAATAAAAAAAAAGCATAAAAAACCTGATTCTCACAGTTACCTGTTAAAAGGTTTTTCCATATTATACGTATTGTTTGTTCAATTTCACCGATAGCTGGTTTTACTTGTGTACATCTCAGCAATTTATTAGGACGTGACTCTCTTTGTGTAGGTAACAAGGTTCATGTACCGTGCAGGTCAAAGCACGGAGCTTCGAACAAGCTTTCAATTTGATTAAACTGCAACGTTCGCTTTCGATACATCCATCAACATCCTACTAGGAGGTTCAAGTGACAGAGGAGATTGGGGGGCGGGGAGGGGGGTACAGGCTCTGACAAAAGGTTTTTAAACTAATTTTGTTTTATAATGTTTGGTAATACAAATTATAATGATACATTCGCAGATGTTTCAGGAATATACTCTAACAAATATGTAGGTGTTTATTGGTTTATGTAACAGTCTGGTAATAATCTTACTTTTTCATGGACCAAATGAATGCTGTATACTACTATTTAGAAACTATATCTTTATGAATTCTATCATGTCTAAAATCATGTTAGGCTAACAGCTTCACTCGCCTAAACTCGAGAAAGTTCATTTAGCAGAATTTATAGTTTACTCCGCAGAATGTAAATAAGAGGTTATTATTTATTACAGTTTTAATTTACTTTATAGCTTGCAATAAATGAATTTAGGAGTCAGCTTTATACGACACGACACGGCGGTACTTCTCAAATAACGATCTGTGAGAGTAATGAAACGCTCATGACTTTGAAATTAGGAGACAACTTCCATCGAGTGCACTTACCCGTTTATAGCGGGTGACAGTATTTGACCGACGGAGACCGACGTACTCTTTGTCTTGGGTATTCGAGCACAGAAGTTACAATAGAAGATCGGATTATAGTATAAACTAAGATAATTATATAGTTTGCCTAGCTTGTGTTTTATTCAGCGACAAGTTTCATAAGGCAGGACATATGTGCACATAATATTGTGTATATTATTACAATATTTCTCAATATTGTATTGCGATTATCAAACGAAAGCATTACATTAAACAGCAATACTTTAATATAACACTTAAATAAGCCTAACACAGTGCACATAAAAACAAATAATCCGTAAACGGTCGCAGCATAATATTGAGAGTAATTCCGCAGCGGTTGTGTGCGGGAGTGTACGGCGCACGGCGCGCACCGTCTCGCCGGCCGTCACCGTTTACGATCAGATAACTTTCAAGCGCGACTTTTTCAATGAATTCTAAATGCGCGACTACCTCGGCTTGCGATCCCCTTCGCTCCACCGCTTTGTTTCACCATTGTCGATGTTAACTGATCCACTCGATACTATTGTCACTTTGTTTGGCTTTTAACCGTTCTCCTTTTTATTGTTTTTCTTAAAGTGTAGATTGAATATCTTTTCACAATGCACAAAGATGTTCAGAGCACGCAATATTGCGCTATTGTCTCATGTGAGTGAGATAGAGAGGTTGTAAGTGAGACTCTTTTGTGATTGAGCCTGAGTCCGATCTCTAAACCGAGAAAGTTTATTGAGTTTCGCAATTTCGAAATTCAATAAAAGTTTAGAGTTTTGAATTGTGTCTGGTGTTTGGCTGTAACCGAGCTTTAAAATAGCTCTAACCAAATTCAAACTATTATTAGCTCTAAAACTATTTAATGAAAATAGTAAACAATACAAATTAATGAGTGGTTGTATAGTTTAGTCGAAGTCACAAAATTACACCTCTATCCAGTGTTCCGTTCTAACATGGTTGTAAGAACACAGAAAGTAAAAGAGTAAAAATTAATTAATTTCACAGTTTCTAAAGGGACGCTAGCGAACATCAGAGCAAAGTTAAAACTGAACACTCTGAGCAGGATAACGTCGACGTCAAACAATATTTCAATTAGTGAGACACTGTAGCAACTAGCAACAGACTACGATACTGAAAAAATAATTGCATCTTACGCCTTCGTGAGCCGCAGGATACAATGATACTGCGACGCACTGTGACGTCACAGTACTCGTCATCATACGTCACACGGTGCGGCGGCGCGGAACACTATAACGAAGTTTTAATTAACGCCCTTTTGAGCACATTGCTCCAGATTGTTGTCAAATGTCAACAAATGAAACCAATGTGTCTTCAATTAACTTTAGAGCTGAGTGATTTACTGTCTTGTTATATTTACTTGACATACAAACGTTGTGAATGTGTTGTTGTCGTTTTTTTTTTTTTTTTTTTAATATTATAGATTATTTCTCCACGGACTCTAGGTCCGTGCCCTTGTCATACAGTTTTTTAATTATAATACATCTAGTCAATTTTTATAAAGTAAAGAGGGAACCTAGTTACATACTACAATTAACTACATCTATAATTATTAGCAAAAGTATAGGTTACATAATAATTAGGCACTATTTATTTATTTCTATTTCAAAGGCTTTATGAAACCAGCCCACCAACAAGATGGGAGAGCCGACCTGACCCAGCAGAAGGCACCCGTTCACGAGTATGACGTGTGTGTCAGCAATTGGTCCGGTCAACCTTTTTATTGGGAACGGAACAACCCAACACACAGCGCCACCGACTGTAGGACATTTATGTGTGCATGACGCCTCAACCGCCACATGGGCCGATTCCAATAAAGCGTACAATAGTCCAAAGTGAATAGTGTTGTTGTCGTTGAGATAGTCTGTTTTTGCCAATTACCGTCCTTATTGTTTGGTTTTCGGTGTGATTTCAATAGAAGCCGACCGATAACAAGTTGATATAGAATAACTACAGTTTAATTGTTACCAAGGAATAACAACCGAGAACATTATATTTAAAATGAACAATAAAGAGTTAGGTACTTTTAATGCTTTTAATAAAAATTCTAATCTAAGAATACCCGCCGAGGTAACTTTATATGGTGTCTGACACCTGTTCAAATAACTTTTTTTAATACCAAAGGAGAATCATGAATATCAATTTATTATTTAAATTAGTTTCTTTTGAAGAAATTTAATTTAGCAGAGACAGAAGTGGGCCATGAACAACAAGAAAACTCACTCTTGAATAAAATAAGAAAGCTCTGATTTACTTTTAATTTCGTTTTGAAACTTGTTAAATTACTTTCTAGAGAATAATTTATGGTAAATTTTGTAAAATATCCGTCTCTCCAGACGATGTCACTGATGTACGATTAAAATTTATCTGTCGCTTAGCTGTCGAGAATTATAATTGTTGTTTCATTTAAATTCAAGGTTTTCAAGTTAGCATAACTTCGCCGTATTTCTTATTGAATGAAATATTCTGTGAACTGAATTTATAAAAGGTAATGTTCGTAAACGAAACTAGAGTTTTTCGAAATAATATCATTAAATAAACAACCCAGCCTCTCAACCTTAGCAAAATGTATCGAGCCCTGAAACAAAAGGGACCCGAAAAAATACTCGATCCTAAAGACAAGAACATCGTCTAGAAATTAACTGATCCTTTATCGCGGCCTTAACTTGTTTTATGTCAACTTTATGAACGGTACGTCATTCAAATAACCATAAAAGTGAATGTCGGGGCTGTTCCCGGAATGTATATAGTTGGGGAGCGCGCGCTGCGAGGCGCCCCGAGGAGGCGATGGGTGACGAGATAAGCCCCCGGAACGTCTGTCTCAACTCGATAACAACCACTAAAATCCACACTTTTATGGAAAATACCTCTTTTTAATTTCATTTTTACAAACTGAGTTTTTTGCTTTGTAAAGAAAATTGCGTTACATTAATTTTACTGACTAACATAAAAAATACTTAATTAAGGTTAGGTTGGGACTCGGATTATTTTAATTGGAATATGATATGAAGATGAGAGGTCTCTCAAAGACTTGTTCCTAAGTGGACTTACAATCTGTGCCGTCAATGTTTAGAGTGTTCTGTATATTCAGTAGGTAGCAATACTTGCTGAATACATTAGCTGTTTATTTTCCGGAAAGTAGTAACATTCAGCTGAGCGAGCTGCGCTAAATGACGCTTGTAGCGAACGTGAATGAACATGACGTACTGCCAACTTTACACCCCTCGTCTCACCACACAACATAGCCTCAAAATTAATGTTACCACTTAAGAATTATATCATACACATACAACGAAAATTGCATAAATTTATTAAAAATATGAGAAGTCGAATGTATATTCAACGTCAGAACATCCACCAACGAAGTTTCGTTTTTAATTTTAACGCAATATATTTCTTTTATAAAATGAAAGGTGTTCAAGATGTTATAAATAACCGCAGATGACAAAGAGTAAATGAATGTAAAGAATGGAGTGTAACAGAAGCTGTAACAGTTCCTCAGAGTGACGGGCGGATATTAAATCAAGCGCGCGGGTAATCTGCATAAACGCCGCACGCCGGCGAAACTGGCACTCTGTCGGGAACTAAACTGCATCCTCCGCGCCACGCTGGGTGCTGGTTGCAAATTAGCTGGTTTTTGTTCGAATTCTAAAAGTTTGTGCCGGTTACAGCCAGCCGCTAAGAAAATAGAAACGAAAACTTGTTAAAGATGAGCTGCAAGAAGTGGTTTAACACAAAGTTATCGTTAATTACAATACCTATTTATACAAATTACAGATAATCTGAGATATGATTACTTCTTAATTTTGTCTTTTTAAGTAACATAAAAAAAACAACAATTACTGCTAGCCAAATAAGCTAGTACAAGTCTTCAGAACTTACATCACATTATGAAAGAGTCGATAAAATATTGTGCATAAAAGCAGTACCTAATTAGCAATCAATCAGTATCCCAAAGTGTTCCAGCGCTGCGCGGCGAGCGCTACAACTTATCTGTTTAAGCAGGGAGTGGTAATTCGTCGCAACTGCATCAAAGGCGAACATTAAACTTGCATTAGCGACGCTTAACTTTACGTAAAGTTTGAATCTTATTGCCGCTGCGCACCGACAATTGAGAAAAGTTCCCTATTCAATTTGTACTGTTCTTCTTTATTAAAGGACTGTGCAAAGAATTCAGGAATGGAACTGTTGAATGGTAATGTACCAGTTACTGCAGTCTGCTGTCTTAGACAATGAATTGCTTCAGCTTAACGGCGAGCCTTAGCATCTATGTAAATGTACGGCGAATAAAGAGATGGAGAATAAGATTGGATGAATGATTTAACGTGTTTTCTTAGAACTTTTCGGGGCAATAATAGTAATTCAGGCTTATACCACTGACAAAAGTAGGTGAAGTAGTATACTAGTAGGTATACTTCTCCACAAGTTGTCGAAAGAGCGAGCTAACTTATTCTCTCTCGAGATAGATTAACAGTCATCAGTATTTTGGGCAAACTAATTATTTATTGTTGGCGGCGCTGTGTTGGCGTCACATTACTAAAGCCTAGAGTTATAAATGTGAACACTAAGAGTAATGTAACAGAGTCACTTTTACTAAGAATTATTGAGGTTTCTTCATAAACGTACATAGATATCGCGCCATAACATTTTATTGTGACAGATATTATTTTTATAATTTTATCCTGGAGATTTAGTATAAGAACCAAATGATAATAAAGTACACAGCTGCGTTTCTTGTCGTAGTCTTATAATAAAATATTAGTTAAAGTTCATGAACCAATTACATGATCTTTCGCATTCAATGGTCCGTGCTGATAGCACATCGTGGTGGACGCGTAATATCAGGAGCTATTATTAATTCAACAGTCAACACAATCGTCCCATTGTCGGCTTATCTGTTGACACTTAACTAGAGTTCTGTACATGATGCTCGTATATTGAATAGATGATCTACTGATCTTGTGTGATGGACATCGTGAAACTGATCTTAGTCAGATATCAACAATTGTCTAATAACCTTTAGATTGCATTGAACGGTACGAGAACCTATACAAAAAAATGCGAGTAGTACAAATTAAATGACATGCATGTATGTATTTGAGAAAGAAAGTATATATTTTCTGGTGAAAACTTACGTTTATTCAAATATTACCTTTAATCCTACTATTTTATAACATTAATATAAATACTTTGAATCGAATAAATACTTTGACTTTATTGTGTCTATACTTCAAGCTGAAGAGTTGTAGCATTAAATAATCAAGAGTGAGGGCATCAAGTCAAGATAATTATGTTACACACTCAATCGTTGGTGTCGATTGTCGATCCCTTATCGGAGTGTTTCGGCTTCATCGAGCATCCTAGTGGTCTCACGGTAAACCGGTGTTTATTGTAAGATTGATTTGATTGAATTGACATTCGTTAAATGATTACACTGTCGTTTATTTATATTATTCTATCAATTGTTACGCAGATATAAACTTTACAGGTGTATTCTACTGATAAGTAAATACAACAAAGAAGATTGCTTCTACCCTTCTTAATAGAAAATGTAACAAACAGACTAAGAAATATTGTTCTGTCAAGAAAAAGATTCCACATGTTCATAGACAATAAATGACTAAATAAGAATGACAAACACAAAATGCCCAAACCGCGCAACATTAAACAAGTTCTACCAACAAATATAACTTCAGCTTAAAAAACAATCTCTTGGAAAAATGTCCGAGAAGTTGAATGAGTCATTACCTCGAGGAGTAATCGAAAAAGAACGGAAGCGTCCGTAAATGAAAACATTAATCGAATTTTCTGGTTCTAATCGAGAACTCGGAACTCATAAAGCAAGTTCAGCTCCCTTGTTCCTGTCGCCGACAGCCGCTTCCTACACTCGGATTAACGAAAAATTCTTAATTTTCTCCTTTCGAAAGCAATAATCGGCCATTTGGCTCGTTCGCGAAAATTAATTTCGATTTTATAAGGTCCAGAGTCGGTATTGTTGGAAACTTTCCAGACGACCGTATCTATTGGGACTGGAGGAACGTTACGTTTGGAGACATGTTTGACGGAGAAGTACACAAAATATAAATAAAACTTTCTACAAGCTGATCAACCGACTAACTAATTTTTTAATGAAAGTAAAAAGTTATAAAGTTCTGATTCGTCCTCGACGTCTGAAGTAGGTAAAGGTCACTTGTCTGTATTGAAATAGAATGAAACAATGAATTGTTTGTACGTTTACAGGTAAAAGTTTCAGTAACATTCAACATTGTCAGAGTAGACCAAAATTATAAACAAAATATAATTTTAGATCACTAAAATGAAGTTATAACAACTCCACAACTGTTAGAAAGGCATTTTATTGACAGGCAGCTATTTTGATAATAATAATTGTTTTCATTATATCAACTTTGTTTTTATCCTATTTATGAACTCATCCGAAAGTATTCGTTTATTTTAAATGAACGTCATGCCTGCATGTTTCATTAACATATTTAACCTAAAATATGGAATACACAAATTACTTTTCTTGTTTGACAGAAAAAGCGCCTTCTATTTTTTCTCGCTAACTTACCAGCTTCAGCGGCGAGTGGTGCCAGTACATTTCCATCCTTGAACCACCTGGAGACGGTGACGTGGTTCTTCACGATGGATGGCACAGTACAGGTCAGCAGGGCAGCTCCACCTGCCACGCCGTGGGAGGACTGTACGCGTACGTCCCAGGGCACGTCCATCACTGAAACAATGCCATGTGTTCATTATTTGTGATAAGGGACAAAGAGCCATGTGGATCACCTGATAGTAGGCATTCAGTTACTATGGATACCCGGAACAATAGAAAAGTTAGAAGTGCATAACCTGATATTTTTTATTTTCAAACTTAAGTGGTGTTAGGAAATATATTATAATGTATATTATCAATATAACCAATATCAAACTCAATCGTTGTTCAATGAATGTAAACATCGATTAAATTGTTCGAAATAAAATTAATATATTTTAGTTAGAAAAGTCTCTTAGATAATTTTACGTACAGATTTTACTGTTCGTTCATTGATTTTGTAATTATTGTGAAGTTTTGTGGCTATTCATTCTAAGTTTGACCACAAACAGGTTGAAATAAATAATTTAGGATTACGTGACAAACAGTTACGTGAGTTAGGCGAATACATCATAATTAATTTGGAATAAATCGAAACAACATGTTCGAAATACAAATCATGTTAATTGGGTTATTTGTAATGTTTATAGTTAAATGAATCCTAATAAGGTTACCAAACGTATCAGTCAATTAATTTGGAATCAACCAATCGGAGTGTAGCCGGTATTTATGTCGATCATGACGCAACAACCACAAACCAGAGCGTTCACCTAATTATTTACTTGTCGATTATATGTATAATACGATTTTTTTTTTTTTTTTTTTTTTTTAAGGGGGAAAATCATCGAATGACTGCTCCCGCCTGGGTGAGGCGGAAGGGAGTGTCAGACTCTTACTGACTAAAAACCACCCCGTTCCTTCTCCTGCACGTCGAGCCGGAGCCCCGGTTACCCGTTAGGTTCTCCGCGACTCCGAATCGGCATCGGCCCTATTGGGCTCCATCTGTGGTGGTCTGATGGCTCTTTGAGGCGCGCGCGGAACGCGACGCGCCGTACGCTCGGGTCTGTTTCTGGTCGGACGGGGAGCCACCCATGCTCGCCGTCCGCAGGCCCGCGCTTACGGTGGCCGGAGATCGTCCCGCGATCCCCGACGCCCGGTGTGTCCTTCGCGATGGCTGGGTTGCGAGGAGGCAGCGCTTCGCTGCCTCACGCGTCCCGCCTCCTCCTTAGCCAGCATGACTGCTTCGCAAAAGGAGGAGACGGCATCCCAGTCCCCCTCGCTCCGCATCATGGCCTGCACTAGGCCCGGACGCGAGAGGTCTCCATCGCCGATCGCTCGCCCTGAGGGCACGGCGGTGCTCAGCCCACGCAGGGCAATTCGCAACAGTGTGTTCCACCGTGTCCTCAGGGTGGTCCTCGCAGTGATGACACCCGGGCGTTTCCTCCCGCCCCATCAGACACAGGTACCTCCCGAAACTTCCATGTCCGGTGAGGACCTGCGTCAGGCGGTAGGTGAGGACGCCGTAGCGTCTCTCAAGCCACTCCTCAAAGAGGGGACTTACCGCTGCAATGCCTCCAGATCCCACGGCGGTAATCCGGCAAGGAGGTTCGCCGACTCCCCAGAGATCGTGCGGTATCCGCGGATCATTCGGATCGCCATGACCCTCTGTGCCATAAGCAGCGCCCGAGCGGGCCGCTGCAGCAGGTTCGGCGCCCAAACAGGGGCGCCGTAGAGGGCCATGGACCGCACGACCCCGGCGTATAACCTCCGGCAGGAGGCGTTTGGCCCCCCGAGGTTGGGGAGGATGCGCTTAAACGCAGCCCCCACCCTCGCCAACTTTGGAGCCAAACGTCGGAAGTGCTCCACGAAGTTCCATCGACTGTCGAGGACGAGTCCCAGGTACTTCATCGCCGTCTCGACGCCGATGGTAACCCCTCCCGCCATTATTTGAGACCCACCAGGAGGTGGCGCATTCCCGCGGCCATGAAAACACATGGCCTCGGACTTGTGGAGCGCCACCTCGAGTCCCAACTGCCGGATTCTCTCAACGACTGTCGCAACCGCTGTCGCCATTAAATCGGCCGCCGCCTGGTGCGACCTCCCGTGCGCTAGCACCAGCGTGTCGTCGGCGTAGCATATCATGCTAACGCCGTTCGGGAGGTCGGTGCGCAGCACCCAGTCATAACCGATGTTCCACAGGAGCGGCCCCAGAACCGAACCCTGTGGAACACCGCGTGACATCTCTCGCCGGTTCCACTCGCCCCGGTGACCGGGGTAGATGACGGACCTGTCCGTCAGGTATGCCTCGATTACACGACGGAGGTAGGTAGGCACCCGATGATATCGGAGTGCCTCCAAGATGCAGCTCCAGGGCAGGGAGTTGAAGGCGTTGGCGATGTCCAGAGACACCGCCACTACGACCTTACCCCTGGACACTGCAGTCCCCGTCGTCCGGTCCCTAACGCGCATGATGGCGTCCACCGTGGAGCGCCCTCTGCGGAAGCCGAACTGGCCGTCCGATAGGTCCGGCCCAATATCCGTCAGGTGCGCGACGAGGCGGTTCGAAATGATTCTTTCGAAGACTTTCCCCACCTCGTCGAGCAGCACTATGGGCCGGTACGCGGACGGATGTATAATACGATATGTAATACATACTTAGTACTTGCTAACTTATAATCATCGTGGACCGTGGAGTGAAGCATGTTAAGTTCGTGCAGCGTGTGTACGACGTCAGAATCACACACGAACTCTATCGGTATAATCCTCCGCTCGATAGCTCTCATAGATCAGTGTGTCACTCATTATCTGACCCTCTCCCCCCTTCACCCCCGCCTGCGTTTCCCTCCCCCCTCCCCCGTAATGATGACATGACATCGAGTGACGTCATTAATTAAACGGGGCCCACGTCCAGCGGAATTGGGTTAGCGGTTACTGCATGCATCAATTATGTGAAGTTTGGACGCCCATTGTACTGTAGGCTTTGCTAGAACTTCGGTACTGTTATTGTTTTAATAGTTCTAGGATTTCAAATACATTCATGGTAGAATGCTATACAGACTACAATGACCAAATAATTAAATATTCTTTTATCCATTTATGTAAAAGTTCACCTGTTTTTTTATGAAATGTCAAATATATAAAAATACATACATTTACATCGGTAGTTGGCTGCTGACAAAGGTTCTGAGATAAAACGTTCCTGTCCCTGGAAATATATTTATCTGTTTGTAGAACAGGAATATTAGTCACGTATCAAAGGTTGGAAAGTTTTTCTCGTTGTTTTGGGAATAAATAAGACAGATGGCCGTTACCTGGTACCAGACATTGTACTCTTCGAGATAAATGATTCAAAACATGAACGATTTTACGAAAGTTTATTTTGTTTAGCAACATTTTCCACTCAAATCATTTTCAGTCGGTAGTTGCGCACGTGTTAACATAGGACTGGCAAATATTATTCTGTTTAATGCCTAGTAGTTTCCAGTTAAACAATGAATATTTTCCTACGAAGTAAAATAATCGAGGGCTCATTAAATTCTATTGAACCCTTAAGTAAGTGAAGAGCGTCGTTATAGATGTACTAAACGAGATTTAAATATAATATTTGAAAGGAAGTTTGGAAAATCTGTTACTCGGGGTAATCCGATTTTTCCACTGGTTCAATTTTAATCCAATTATTAAGTTGGAGCCCCGGGCTCTGACGCAGACTCTGTTTTGGTGTCTATTTTCTCATAAAATGATTTATGTTCATAAATCTATTTTAGATGGTTGTCGTTATACCTTTTGATGTGATTAACTGAAAGTTACACTTCTAAAAATAAAACTAATTAAAATTCCGAATTCTGAACTTTTTTCTTTTTGTTAATTTAATACACGCCATTGACATTAGACTGTCATCCGGTTTCGTTGAGGTATTTGCTTATTATATCCAAGACGTCGTATCCCTGTTTGCCACTCACCCCACAATCAACTTACCACAATTGTCTTCTTACCGAACAGGGTGGATATCATAAAATTAATTAAAACTCTAAATTGAAACCAGAGCTTGTAATATGTAAGCAAAGTGACAGCAATCAGGTAACATACTAGTGGAAGGGGTTTATAGGAATTACCCCTCTTCAGATGAAAAGGTCGCATGAGGTGTGACAGCGAATTACACGCTATAACGACCCGTATATTATATGTAGTAGGTATTATTATACGATGCTGTTGGTTTATTGTCGCTGTATGTAGTGGAGTAACTATACTGGTGTGAGTATGAGGTTGGATACAGAGTTAAGTAAGGAAAGTTGTGTCTACTTTATCTCTGTAAGCGTCAATATAACGTAAAACACAATTTAGTAAAAGAAAATCAACTGGTGAGCAGCCACAAACCGAGAATACGTCACATGGAGTAGCCTCGTCTCGGGGCACACGATCCATCACCCTGCACCCGCCCAATTAAACCCGCATAAACAAAGCAGTCAGTCAAAAATAATAAGATGTCACCCCCCCCCCCCTCCCCGCGGGAGATCCGCCAGTAATGAAATCCGCGGCGAGTCCGCCTTGAATTATAAACATCCACCGGACTCTGATTTCCCTCGCCGCCGATGGTTCCAAACAAAATGTTGGTTAACTGAAGCATTAGTCTGTCAAGCAAATGAGTATGATACTGTATTGCGGAGCCAATTATCGCTGCGGTGGAACTTCGAGCTGTTTCGTTTTACGAGGTAGATCTCAGGGCGGCCATTACGCCCCGTATCTACACGCCGCCGGTGAAGATCCTATTCAAATTGTCTGCTCTGTATCAACCAGCTCTTCAAGCTTGATGACTGTTATATTTCTGTCTTGATCAGTTTCAGTTTTAACAATAATTCGTACGAACATGTTCAGTACGTTCTTGCATAGCAGAACTGTAAATGTATGGGTATAAATACATCTTCTTAATCTGGTACCTAAGTTTATTTTTTGTTATATTACCATTTAGTTTACTTTTAAAATTATTACCACAATAATACTAAACTCGTAAAACTTACACAACATACTGCTAACTATCTCTTTATCCCATTCCAATTAACATGTTTACAAAGAGGCATGAACGAGTCACAGGTGCCTAGTTCATTTAGGATTAAAGCTCAAATAGAACTCATTCCGCG